ATGTCGGTGACTGCTCCGAGTTCAATTTCTTTTTATCACAATCTGTGGCCAGTTCGGTTTCCTTCTCTACAAGTCATCCTTTCTTGCTTATTTTTAGCCTCACTGAAGTTCAAACAATCACCTTTGTTTCTGTTCCTGTTTGTACACTGAGATTGTTGGATAATTTCAAAGATGTCAAAGCAGTTAGAAGAGGTATTGTTGATATAAGCTCCCTCTGCTGGTTAGTTCTGCAGTAGAAATAAAGCTATATGGTGTATAGTTGTTTATCACAGAAACTGTTTATCACGGTTGTTTATCTGTTATCAGCAGAAATTAAAAGACAGTTAAAAGCAGTGACATACAGTGGTTCTAAAAGCAACTGTCTACCAGAGCACTAAGTTTAAGCTTATGACTTTTATACTCATAAGGCTTTTAATTGCAAATAACTTAAAATCTAGATGTTGATATGTAAGTGACAGATACTCCTTAGAGCTGCTGCTGCCACGTTGCGTACAGAATCTAAACAATAGCTTGAGAGCTAATATATTGAGACAGCTGTTTGCATACAGATTAAACTAACTTCATTACTTCGGACTCCATCTGGTACGTTTGCTAGTACGTTGCACTTACAAACTTTCAGTTAAGGTGTAGTTGTTTAGTATGTAATGTAGCCGGTCCAGGCCTCTACGTGATTATCAGGAGAAGTAAACAATAACCTTAGTTCTCTTACTGATGCAGTACGGGAAGGGTGAGTGAAGGACACTGTTTCTTTGTGCCACTGCTTGCAATGACATGACTGAAGTCTCCTAGATCAGCCTTTCGTAGCAAGGATTTGCCCGGAAGAAACTCTGAATATGCCTTTCCCTGGATATTCTGACAAATGTTGCACAAGGATGAAGTTTGAGTGTGGTTGGTGCAAGAAGTCAATCACAATATTGCAGGGTGTCTACCGTTTGGGCAAGCGTGTGGTATGTTCTAGAGGATGTTAAAATTAATTTTTTTGTTTTGATAACACTGAGTTACGTTACTGACATCTCCATTTACCATACTACATATAAATATATATTCCCCAAATACTTTTTTTCCCCACTATAGACTCCCACACACACACTCCTGCGGCAACTACAATTGTTATTGGAAAACTAGGAAATTGGCTAAAGTCAAGGAATCCATCTTTAGAGAGGAAAAAGGTGGTGCTTATGCCTAGGTTGGGCATTTATTTGCTGTGGAAAATGGAGAATAAGTAGTTAAAACAGCTTTCTATGTACAGTTAAAGCTAAGAAACAGTAGTCCAGAAATCCAGAAAGCCCCAGAACTTTCAGGTTTGTACATTATTTCACTCATTTAGACATAAGAATAACAAAAATAGCTGCTGTTGCTACTGTAAAAATGTTGCAACTGAATGATGATGGCTACTGCGGCAAATGGCAGCATCTAAGGGTCATAGTTAATATTTGTAGAGGAGGGGAAAAGGATGTGTGCTTGGGGAGCAGCAGTACATATTATATAAAATGCAAGGGATGATTGTTGTTTGTATGTTTGGTTTGGGTTTTTTGTTGGTTTGTTTTAAATATTTTTGTGAACTTTCAATGGTTGCTAAACCTGAAGAGGCTTTAGGATTGACATTTATTAAAGAAACTAACCTGCCAGTAGCAGATGAGTTGTCATTAAAAATCTTTTAAGGAAAACCCTTGAAATAACTTGGTAGGATTGAAGTAACAGTTGAAACTGGAAATATAGAGCATTGTTTTAGCTAAAACAGTGTTACACCTGTCAAAAATTGTAAGGTTTTTCACCTGTGGAAGGAGTTCATTGCTCATGTCTTCAATCTGGAAAGCCTCATGTGCTTGAAAGCTTTTCTTTTATCTACTGATATTAGTTTGTGTGACAAGATATCCAATTGAGCTTTAAGGTATGGAAATGCAGTGTAACTCACGTAGGTTTTGGAAGTGCTTGGAAAGGTTTTGTCAAAGAGGAGTGGTTAACTGAGCCATACAGTAGTGGAAAATAAGCCAAGTGGATTAAAGACCTAGCGCAAAGAGATGAAGTAGCGTATTTTAAACTGTTTACCTTTAGAGTAGAATAGGTTCTCAGGGTGCTGTAAAACTTGTTAATGCTAATTTACTAGGACATTCTCCATCAAAATAACATTTTGTCTTCATGTCTTAAGTTGACGGGATGTGTTGAAAGAACTTCAATGAAGAAAATGTTTTTCTTAATATCCAGTTTATAACATGTTTGTGCATTGCCAATTGTATATTGTATGAGGCAAATTAAATAGGTAAAGTCAGAAGGGACAATTGCTTGGTCTGCTCAAAAGAACAAGTCATTGCAGTCTCCTTTTAATTGATAGTGTCATACATTAAAAGATTTGCCAAAGTGAGGTAACAAATCTTAGCAGCTAACTAGCCTGAGTTTGTAACTGGACTAGATATTAAGAAGGCTTAAATGCATTCAAATCTGTTTAGCTGTGTAGAATGTGCTGTGGTCTTGGCATCAGGTAGACTTTTAAAAGCTGTTCTACAAATAAATTTATTATGAATGTGCCATCTGGAGACTTCAGGTGTTTTCAAGACCTGCTTCAAATGTGAAATAGAGTGAAGTCAGGCTCTTAATGAGAGTGGTGCTTGCAGATCAGAGCTGGATTTGTTGGAACAAGGTTATGAAATTTCGATAAGGAGACAAGTCTGGGTTTTCTTTGCGTTGGGTTTTTTTTGTACGCATACTTCTACTGTGACCTCAGTGTTTCTCAAACTTTTTAAATCCTTCCAAAAAACATCTGCACTGAAAAACTTGTATTTTAGGATTGATTGCTGGTCTTGAATAGTTTTCTGAAGCCATGACTCGGTTGTCAGCACAGTTTTGAGAACCAAGCATTGGAAGCAAAGGAAAAAGGCGCTGTCGTGTTCTCACTGTTGTCTGTATCTGATACCCAGGCATCATCAAGAAGCAGCCTGACTTGAAAGCAACAGAGCAAAGAATAGGGGATGGGACAGGACTGGGGCAAACAAATGAAAAGGAAAGAACTAAATGTTGATGAGAGGATGGCACCTGGATGGAAACTGCATTTCTTACCTGTTGAATGATTCGTTAACCTTCTTTCTTTCTTTTTTTTTTTTGAGTGATTGATTGTCATTTGTATCATGTCACTGACACTCTGTGGAATTCTCCACCTAATGCTTTTCAGATTTCACAAAACTTGCTGATACCCCTGAGCAAGGATCATAGATTGTCAGTGGCAGAATCCCTTCAGGGTATGAATGATGTTACAATTTTCATGTGCAGGATTGAAGGCCTAGATAAGCTCTGTATGTTTGTCTTGACTGTCAGCTTTGTTTCTGAGCTGGTGCAATTGTCCTGAGGGAACTGGGAAGGAGGAGCATTGTGGAAGGATGGATCATATACATCTGTGTTCATTGACAGATGATGTCTATAACCAGTCATGTTTCCAGCTTTTATTGTGGTCCAGCTTGTTGCTAAGTAACAGATTATGACAATTTTAATTAATCTCTTTTCTCTGATGTGTTTCACTGCTTAATTGTATAAACTCATGAGTTTCTCATGCTTTTGTGCTCTCACAAATAGTTTTTTGACCATAATAACAGCTTTTGATGATGCAAGAGATGGCAGATTTGGGTCACGTGCTCAACAGCCCTGGCTTTATTTTTATTTGCACATTGTCACATGTACATCAACAGCTTGCTTACATGGCATATATAAGTTGTAAGACTACAAAAAAAGTCACGAATGATAATTTTATAAATGGGAATTCCAACTGAAATTCCCTCTGAAAATTCCCTGAGAAATCCACTGAATACAGTTTCCTTAAATATCCTGTTAAGAAAAGATCTGTTCTTCCAATATCCTACCAGTGACTTGCTATTTGTTTGCCTTAATACATGGAAATATAATTACATATTGCATATAGAATAGAATGTTATACTTTTGGAGCAACAACACATGTCTTTTCTCTCATTTAAAGGAAATTATTTTATTGCCTGTTGATGCAAGTGTAAAATAAACTTTATTAAAAAGCTTTTGTTTTTATTACAGCAATGTCACCTTACTTGTAGAAGCGTCATGACGCACAGCAGCATCATGGTGGATGTAGGCAAGTGGCCAATATTTACCTTGCTGTCACCTCAAGAAATAGCATCTATTCGGAAAGCATGTGTATTTGGCACATCAGCCAATGAAGCTATATACATAACGCATAATGATGAGGTAAGGCTGTAATAAAGTGGAACATACACTCCACAAGTAATTGTTTTTTGAGTCCACTGAATACTTGTAAATTAATAGCTTCTAAAAAGCGTTGTGTGAAATTTGTATATTTCAAAGCATGTTGGATGTAACTTGTAATTTTTTTTTTTAATCTTGTGTGGGGACAATATAGATGGACTATTTAGAAAATTTGCAAATAGCAAAGGCCAGGAAAGATTACGTGCACTTTTGAAGACAGTCAGAATTCAGATGATGTTGTGGTAGCTTAAAATTAAGTGCAAGCACTCCAGGTATGAAGATATAAAATGAAGTTATGACTTGCTAAGTAACAATACAGTGAAAGATTATCTGTGGACTTACAGGACTCAGAAACTCAATGGAAGTTAGTGTTGTGCTGCTGAAAGAAAGCAAGCCTGATGTTCTGGGAGGTATTAATGGGAGGGTTTCTTGTAAGACTAGGTAGAGCAGGATTTTTTTTGTTTTCCTTAAGTCCTATCAAAGCTGCCTGTAGGATAAGCCTCCCACAGTACTGCTGTGGCTGCTCTTTACAAACTGCTTTTCAAAGAAGGTGGTGTCTTCCACTTTCACAGTTTAGTACTTTTTACAGTACAGTTCCTGCAAACGAGAAGCCTAGCTTCCAGGCCTGCACAGACCTAAAGAATTCAGACTCATCAGTTAACTTCCAAAGCGTCCCCGTGCTGACTCTTGAGCTTGTTAACTTCCCTGAGGCAAGTCTCCAGCCCTTGAGAGTCTGTGGCAAAACTCTGTCCTGGCTTTATGAAGACCTGGATATTACCACATCTATGCATACCTGAGTATAAATCACTTGAAATGAGTATTCCTCTGTTTTTCAGGTATTTGTTTTTGGACTGAATTGCAGTAATTGTCTGGGAACTGGAGATAATCAGAGCACAATAGTACCAAAGAAATTAGAAGCCTTATGTGGAAAGAAGATTTCCAGTCTCAGTTATGGAAGTGGACCCCATGTCGTACTTTGCACTGAAGGTAGAGAATTAACATTTAATGTAGAATCATAAGTTACAGATTTTAAGTTCCACTTACACTTAACAAGAATGGATTAAGGTGTAGTTGTATTACCTTGTTAATTGGGTAATGTACACTAAGGGGTTTTCATTGGTCTTGAGTGGAACTAAATATATTCTGTAATAGGTAAAGTAAGTTTCCGTTTCCATTATGTTACAACTGTAGCTTTTTACTCTATCATTTATGACATACATGCTCATTCTTACCTGTGTACTTACATGTATTTCCAGAATAAATCTAGAGGGTATACTGTGATACGTGTACATAAAATAGTCATATACAAAGTATATAATTTTTTAGTATACTGATGATTCTTGTAATAGTTTCACTATTTGTTAATGTCCTTTCACTTTCCTGTTGGCATTTGCCAGTTTCTTAGAATTCTGTCTATCTTAACTTCCTTGGAATTTTCGGTGTTTTTTATCACAAACTTAAATATTTTAAAGTATATGTATACTGATGTATATATGTATACTGATGATTCTTGTAATAGTTTCACTATTTGTTAATGTCCTTTCACTTTCCTGTTGGCATTTGCCAGTTTCTTAGAATTCTCTCTATCTTAACTTCCTTGGAATTTTCGGTGTTTTTTATCACAAACTTAAATATTTTTGCAGATGGCGAAGTGTACGCTTGGGGACATAATGGTTACAGCCAACTTGGGAATGGCACAACAAATCAGGGCATTACTCCTGTTCAAGTTTGCACAAATCTGTTAATAAAGAAAGTGGTGGAAGTAGCTTGTGGCTCTCATCATTCCATGGCGCTGTCATTTGATGGAGATGTAAGTTGAAACCTGTTCAAATGTCTTCGTCTCCTTGAAGTGAATGGTGCAGGTGACCTTGCAGTCTGAAGTTCTCCCTTTCTCTACAGTGTAGTTAGAACATAACCTTTTCTCCTGTTGCCCCAAACTAGGGTGTCCTTTTCTTCAGAGCAGACTTGAAAACAACTCAAAAAAACCCCAGACCCCACCCACAAACCCGAACAAAAAACCTCCAGCCTAGCCACAAAAACAAGGGAATAAAAGCTTAGTAAAATTCTGCATCTTTCACTTGTTGCATGTTTCAGAGATGAGACTAGCAAGCTGTGCCACTTACAGGTGAAATAGTGGTTTGTAAGGTGCAAAATGTAACATGTTTATTTGCTTGCAATTCTGTTATTTAAGGGGTATATTGGGTTGTTTGTATTTGCTAGTTAGCATTTAGTCTGTTTCTTGTAGTCTTCATGATTTCCACACTGGTACTATGAAAAAATGTTGCTCTGCACACCTCTGAATACCTTCGTGTGTAGGTAATGAAGGAGCACTTGGTTTACATCCAAGTCTGCTTTATGCTATTTGTTTACATGGCTTAAGGCTATGTGTCATGAGAAACACATACAATTAGTTTCCAGTTAGTCAGATTTGACCAATGTGTCTGTATCTGATTTGAGTTGCATGTTACTGAGTGGAGGAAAGCCTCATTTCAGCTCTACTTTAACAAAAGAAGAGTTCTAATGTTAAAACTTTCCTAACAGTGAAAATGGAAACTGCAGTTCTTTTTATCCTGGTAATCTGGGCATGTCTGTGTTGTGGTTCAGTATGGAGTCCTAGTGCCACAGTAGTAGAAAGTAACAAATCAGTATTTTGAGGGTAGGAAAGAGACATTGGGTTAACTTAAGTGGTCTGTGTTGTATCTGAAAGGAGAGCCTACATGTAGGAAAGATTTTGTGCTGTCACATTTCTTGTGGTTAAACTATAATATTTAGTGTGCATATGGGAAGGAGAGGGGGTTCATGTATTAAACTAGTGGTGCCAGCTGCTGTGTGGTAGCTGCCTGTGATAGCCATGCTGTCTCTTGTAATAAATGTAACACGCTTGAAATCTCAATGGAAGCGGGGAAGTTTCTTTGTATTTACGATGGAGTTTATATTTGCAGCTTGCTCGCTATTGTCACTAGTTAATGTACTATAAATCCATCCCTAGCATACCGTGCAGTAGCTTAGTCTATTTGTGCTGTGAGGTTTTATCTGCCAGAATTGGTTATACCAAAAGCAACAAAATGTGTTAAGTAGAGTTTTGTTTACCAGAAAGATTTGGCTGCAAAAACCATGACTTAATGACTCATGACTTAATATATCTGGAGTTTCAGAGAGGCATTGAAGTTGGAAGTATTTGTGGAAATACTTGGCATAATTGATATGTACAGCTGGTGCAGTGCAAATTAAAAAAAGAAGTATCTTCAAGGACTGCAGACATCTGTGCTTCTGTGAGAAAGGAAACTGATTAGCTCTTTGGCATTTTGATCTACCTTTTGAAATTCTCTACCTCAATGTTTTTCTGTGCTATTGAAATTAAGGTATCTTATAGAGTAACTTCAAACATTCAGTAGGACTCAAAGATTGAGCAAATACAAGTAACAAAGCAAAGGACTAATGCTTTCTTTTGTTCATATTAGACATGGTAAATAAGTTATGTTAGTGGGAGTTTTTTTGTTCTTGTCTTTGGGGGGGGTGTTTGTTTTTTCTTTTTTCGGTGGCAGAGGAGGTGTTTGTTTCTAATGACTGACTTTTGGTTTGGTGTTGCAATAAACAGGCAGCTTCTGGCACCAAAGGACATGCACACTTCGCTTTAGGATATCTGTCTGTTTTCTTTTACTGGCTAGCATGTCTGAGGCTGGGTGTTTCCAAAAGGACAAATTTTTAACCAGATGAAGCACCAGAGAATGAACTATCAGAAACAGTTTTGTGCCAAGCTATGGATGTGTATCATAGAATCATAGAATGGTTT